CTACTCATGCCCAACACGCCCCTCCGCCAGCTCCAGTTCAGGGCGGCATGATGAGCGGTCTTGCTGGGTCAATGATGTCTGGTAAGGGCCAATACGACCAACACTCTTGGTGACGATGGTTAACTCAGGTATGGCTACTGGTGCTGGCTTCTCGATGGCTAACAGGGCGGTTGATGCGGTCATGGGACCAAGACAGACTGAGGTCGTCCACAGGCATGAGGGAGAGCCGACCTCACCACCACCACCACAAGCAGCACCACAGCAACAACAACAAGTCAGTCAGGTAAGGGTTGTTCTGATAGGCTAGGGTGTATTCTATTGTCAGAGCTCTGGTAATGTGTGCCAAGTCCAGCAGGACCAGCTCAACCAGTGTATGGACCAGGCTGTGGAGGCTTCCCAGTGCCAGTAGGTTTAGGGTTGGCCGTCCAGGTGGTCATCATGATTGACATTCAGATACTATTTGGACGCCCTAAAGGCTTGCCGCCAGACGGTTTAGTGTGCTGGTCATCAGCATCATTACGATGAAGTCGTTTTCATCGATACACCCATCAATCTGGTCGAGGAAACTTTTTGATTGGAAGGATAATACACTCGGTGACTGTGATGAATCGGCCAAGCCGTCATCTTAGAAACCTAAACAACGAGGATGAACCTCATTGCAAATCATTGTCTGCTTGAGTTGGTCAATACATGGACTGCCTGTCTCGTGAACCGTATCACTCACCGACACACTCGTACCACTCCCCGATGAACGGCAGAAATATTAAATACAATGTATGGAAACGCTTGAGCTTGTCGTGACTTCACTGAACAATGCGAAACAGGGTTCTACGATGGGTATCACTTGGTGTGTAGATCGCCCACTAGGTGTGTCCTCCACTGAGTCATCGAAGGGTCTCTCTGCCCTAACGACGAGCGTGGCTCCTATGGAAGGGCTATCGATGACAGCACTGAGCGATCGATGAGACTTCAAAACTCGCTAAAAAGGGACAGAAACTGATCGCTGAGTATACGAGCGTCAATGCTGTTTCCACTTCACACCGTCAACCTCTCAGATAAGAGAAGGAAAGTGAACAAACACTAGGCAGCAATAGTCTTTTGCCAAGAGACTATTGCTATGGGATAACAAGCCTACTTCCAGCCAACAAAACTACTCACTACCTAGATGGTCCAAGCGTAGAATTCCGCGTTGACTATCACGACATCCCGGGTTCTAGCCCTGATATTGGTATCATTTCAAGAATGGTACATTCGTACTATGCTATGGTTAGCATCCCGGGACCTCATGTTCTAGTCCTAGGATTTACATAACTCACAAAATAGTATAACCGTACTACACAGTGTGGTTGGGTCAGACTCCAGTGTAGCACAGAGGTCTAGTGATGATAACATAGTGTAGGCTACACTATGTTACCATCACTAGACCCAAAGGCCTGAGACTGATATGACTAAAAGATAGCTATACAATCTTTTAGGCAAGGACTGTCTAGTTTCCTTTCACGATTCCCTGATGACCCGTTTCACAACTACTGACCATAACACAACAAAAAAGTTTGCAAGGAACAACGATTGTACGCCGAAAGTTGTAGCGAATGTGCGTATTTCACGATGGAATGTACAAGTAGGACCCTACTGGGGACCATCTAAAAACGGTAGTTCAGTCATCATCTCCAGCCTTCTTTGAGTTGTCGCTCCCTTTGAGCAGACAAACACCAGAGCACATTTGAGGAGAGCCTCCATAATGTCGGAAACTTCCCAATACTAGATAAAGCTGTGTAGCTGCTGGGTAAACGACGTCTATCGGTGGAACATGGCAAGCATGCGTTTGGTGATCCAGAAACCACCGAAGATGTTGAATCCGGCAGCGAAGGTACCCAAGATGGCACAAATCTGAGCGAAGGCCCCGCAGGCAGAGAGCTGCTGCATGGCGCCAACGACAATGATACCAGAGATGGCGTTAGTCTCAGACATGAGAGGGGTATGCAAGGCATGGTCGACACCCCAGACAAGGAAGTAACCGACAATAACAGCCATCACGAAGGACATCATCTGGTCAACCAAAGCGACGCTGCGACTAGCACCGATACCAGCACAGCAAGCACCGACAACAACGAAAACGAGGAAGAAGTTCAACCACTTAGAGAAGGCAGTCTGGGGCTTCTTCTCGGCTGCAACAGGAGCATCGTTCTTGGGGGCTGCAGGAGCCTTAGGGGCCGGTGGGGGAGCAGGACGAGCGGCAGGCTTCCATGTAACCTGTCCCTGATAAGTGCAACGGATTGGTCCGATAACATCATCAGGCTGAGCGAGAGCCTCATCAACACCAGCCGCACCCTTCATCTGGTCGAACAAGAAACGCATGTTGGCGCTGAAGAGCTCGGAAGCCTGAGCAGGCATGAAGCGAGCAAGGTTGGTCTGACCAATGATGGTCACACCGCTCTCGGGGTCAAGGAAAGTCTTGTCCTTCTGAGTGAGCTCACAGTTACCACCCTGCTGAGCGGCAAGATCGACAATAACAGAGCCGGGCCTCATTGAGCGAACCATCTCCTTGGTGATAAGCAGAGGAGCGGGCTTGCCGGGGATTTGGGCGGTGGTGACAACAACATCAGCCTTCTTAACCTCCTGAGAGTAGAGCTGCATTTGGGCCTTGTGGAATCCCTCAGACATCTCCTTAGCATAACCACCAGAACCAGCACCTTCCTCCTTATAGGGTACCTCGGCGAACTTGGCGCCCATAGACTCAACCTGTTCCTTTACAACAGAACGGGTATCATTTGCAGTAACCAAAGCACCAATAGAACGAGCAGTTCCGATGGCGGAAAGGCCAGCGACACCGGCACCAATGATGAAGACGTTGGCGGCGGGAACACTACCAGCGGCAGTGGTCAAAGGCTTAGCGAAACGAGGCAAAAGATGGAAAGCCTCAATGATAGCCTTGTAGCCACCCATGTTGGCCATAGAGGACAAAGTATCCAACTTCTGGGCACGAGTAATTCGGGGAACAGCGTCGACAGACATGGCAGTCACACCTTTAGCAGCAAGAGTCTTGAGCAACTCGGGGTTGAAGGCGGGCCACAAGTAAGTAATCACAACCTGACCACGACGGAGGTTAGCGAAGTCCTGATCAGTCAAGGTGTTAATCTTGATGATGACATCAGCCGCCTTATAAACCTCTTCAGCGGTGTCAACGAGTTTGCATCCTTCAACGGCGTAGTAGCGATCAGGGAAAGAAGCCTTCTCACCACAGTTGCGCTCCATGACGAAGGCGAAGCCCATATCGCGGAACTTGGACACGACATTAGGGGCGATAGCAACACGAGTCTCATCGCTGTTCATAGTCTCATCGAGTACACCAATGGTCTTGAGAGCCGGAGGATACTCCTTAACCTTCTCGGGCTCGGGCTTCTTCTCCTCAGCAAGGAGGGGAGTGGAAGCGTTGTCAGCGGTGGTGACCTTCTTCTCCTTGGCGAGACCCTGGAGAGCAGCAAGCAACTCCTGTGTCTTTTCGTGAGCATTACCGAAGAGCATACGAGTATTCTCCTTGTAGAACAGGGGGTTCTCGATACCAGAGTAGCCAGTAGCCATGGAACGTTTCATGACGACGCAGATCTTAGCTTTCCACACCTCAAGAACGGGCATGCCTCCAATGGGCGACGAAAGGTCCTCAACCGCCATGGGGTTGACGATATCGTTGGCGCCGATGACAAGGGAGACATCCGTGCTAGGGAACTCGGGATTGACCTCATCCATCTCCTTAACGATATCATAAGGGACGTTAGCCTCGGCCAACAACACGTTCATATGGCCCGGCAAACGACCAGCGACGGGGTGAATGGCAAACTGGACCTTGACACCATGAGTACGGAGGCAGTCAGCGATACCAGCGACAGTCTGCTGGCAACGAGCAACAGCCATACCGTAGCCGGGAACAATGATGACAGACTTGCCGTTAATCATCTTCTCGGCAACCTCATCAATATTGGTTTCAGTAACAGTACCAGTGACCTCGACAGTGTGACCCTCCTCGACACCAAAGCCACCAAGAATGACGGAGGTGAAGGAACGGTTCATACCCTTGCACATGATGTAAGAAAGGATGGCACCAGAAGAACCAATAAGAGAACCGGCGATGATAAGGATCGTGTTGGAAAGCATGAAACCACAGGCAACGGTAGTCCAACCGGAGTAGGAGTTCAACATGGAGACAACAACAGGCATATCAGCGCCACCGATGGACATGACGAGAGCCCAACCGAGATAAAGGCAGATAATAGTGGTGGCAATAATGATCCACATACCAGTAGTGGTACCCTTACCAACCATGCACAACCAAACGGTGAGCAGGATGGAAGCGAGGCAGATGCCAGCGTTAATCCAGTGACGGAAGGGAAGCAGGAGAGCCTTAGAGCGAATAACACCCTGCAACTTGCCACAAGCAACAATGGAACCGGTGAGAGTCATGGCACCGAAGAAGATACCAATCATAGTCTCGACCAAGTGGCCAGCGTTCATCATCTCCTGAGCATCGAAGTAACGAGCGTAGGCGACCATAACGGCAGCAAAACCGACACTAGCATGGAAGCCAGCGACCATCTGAGGCATCACAATCATAGTAGCCTTAGACGAGAGCCAAAGACCACAGACAGCCGCGATGACAAAGCAGATGATAGCAAGAACACCCGAATGATGAGTGAAGCGGGGGTCGAAGCAGGCGAAGATGATGGCAACAAGCATACCGATGACACCGGCCATGTTACCCTTAGTGGCAGTCTCAGGAGAACCAAGACCCCTCAAAGCATACATGAAACACATGCCAACGAAGACGACAGCAGCCTCGTTCATAGAGATGAGACTGGCACTCTCATCCTGGATAGCGGGGAGCTCGACGGTGCTCCCTCTCAGTTCGGTAGCAGCTGCTACAGCGCACGAGATGGCAATGACGGAGAAGCGCATTCCTAGACTAAAAAATCGGTACTGAAACGAAATTCGATGAAGTGAGCCTCACGACTATCGTCATGAAACTGAAATGACTGGCTCTCATACTAGGAGAATACCAAATTCTCCCTTGATATCAACCGCTGAACTTGTGAACTAGAGGAACGACGACAACATCCATTTCACGAAGCAATTGCAGGTACTAGCTTGCCAAAGCTTGTCGCTTTGTGTTGTCTATGTATCGTATCTTCTTAGCGATCTTTCCCAAGCAGCACTCCAGTGACATCTGAATTATGGATCCCGTTCCCTGATACTCCTAAACGAGTGTACTCAAGGAATACTTGCTCTCAAGAGTTCTCAGACTAAAGATGGAGATTACTTACACGCGGTGAACTCATGTGAGAGGGTTGCTGAGGGGCGAATGAACTCGTTGCAATTCATAAGGTGGGGCAGTGGAGAGTGACAATTGTTCTTGAGCAGAGATTCGATTCACATCTGTATCGCTGGCATAAAGCACACAGCCCTCAACGGACTAAACCAACTCTGCTGATCCATTTCCATGAAGCAACAGATACCGTTCTGGACTATGCTAATACTGAAAAAGGAACTGGGACCAGCAGGTAACAGCATAGCACTTACTGAGGATCTCTCGTCAATCGTATAACCTATATCACTTTGCTTTTTCTTCGTTTGGTCGTTAACACTCGTGAACACAATAACGTCTGAAATTACGATTGTATAAGGTTGAAGGATTCCGGCTGCGAGGAACAAGAAACATATGCCAGACAAATAAGCAAATGCACGCATCCAACAATCGAATGATCAAGCATGACCCCAAGAGGGTCGTGCAAAAATGAGCCCCTCCAAACGTAGTCCAGTAATCACCTTCGACATTGCTCGATCGGTTGATGTAAACAATAGTAACAGCAGGCCCAAAGTCGGAAGGGAGAAGCAAGAGACTCCCACACTAAATAAAGCCATAGATAGTTGTCGAGTTGGCAACGTTTAATGGTGGAACATGGCAAGCATGCGTTTGGTGATCCAGAAACCACCGAAGATATTGAATCCGGCAGCGAAGGTACCCAAGATGGCACAAATCTGAGCGAAAGCACCGCAAGCAGAGAGCTGCTGCATGGCGCCAACGATGATGATACCAGAGATGGCGTTAGTCTCAGACATGAGAGGGGTATGCAAGGCATGGTCGACACCCCAGACGAGGAAGTAACCGACAATAACAGCCATCACGAAGGACATCATCTGGTCAACCAAAGCGACGCTACGACTAGCACCGATACCAGCACAGCAAGCACCGACAACAATGAGAACGAGGAAGAAGTTCAACCACTTAGAGAAAGCAGTCTGAGGCTTCTTCTCGGCTTCAACAGGAGCCTCGGTCTTGGGGGCAGCAGGGGCCTTAGGGGCCGGTGGGGGAGCAGGACGAGCGACAGGCTTCCATGTAACCTGTCCCTGATAAGTGCAACGGATTGGTCCGATAACATCATCAGGCTGAGCGAGAGCCTCATCAACACCAGCCGCACCCTTCATCTGGTCGAACAAGAAACGCATGTTGGCGCTGAAGAGCTCGGAAGCCTGAGCAGGCATGAAGCGAGCAAGGTTGGTCTGGCCAATGATGGTCACACCGCTCTCGGGGTCAAGGAAAGTCTTGTCCTTCTGAGTGAGCTCACAGTTACCACCCTGCTGAGCGGCAAGATCGACAATAACAGAGCCGGGCCTCATTGAGCGAACCATCTCCTTGGTGATAAGCAGAGGAGCGGGCTTGCCGGGGATCTGGGCGGTGGTGACAACAACATCAGCCTTCTTAACCTCCTGAGAGTAGAGCTGCATTTGGGCCTTGTGGAATCCCTCAGACATCTCCTTAGCATAACCACCAGAACCAGCACCTTCCTCCTTATAGGGTACCTCGGCGAACTTGGCGCCCATGGACTCAACCTGTTCCTTCACAACAGAACGAGTATCATTAGCAGTAACCAAAGCACCAATAGAGCGAGCAGTTCCGATGGCGGAAAGGCCAGCGACACCGGCACCAATGATGAAGACGTTGGCGGCGGGAACGCTACCAGCGGCAGTGGTCAAAGGCTTAGCGAAACGAGGCAAGAGATGGAACGCCTCAATGATAGCCTTGTAGCCACCCATGTTGGCCATAGAGGACAAAGTATCCAACTTCTGGGCACGAGTAATTCGGGGAACAGCGTCGACAGACATGGCAGTCACACCTTTAGCAGCAAGAGTCTTGAGCAACTCGGGGTTGAAGGCGGGCCACAAGTAAGTAACCACAACCTGACCACGACGAAGGTTGGCGAAGTCCTGATCAGTCAAGGTGTTAATCTTGATGATGACATCAGCCGCCTTGTAAACCTCTTCAGCGGTGTCAACGAGTTTGCATCCTTCAACGGCATAGTAGCGATCGGGGAAAGAAGCCTTCTCACCACAGTTGCGCTCCATGACGAAGGCGAAGCCCATATCGCGGAACTTGGACACAACATTAGGAGCGATAGCAACACGAGTCTCATCGCTGTTCTTAGTCTCATCGAGTACACCAATGGTCTTGAGAGCCGGAGGATACTCCTTAACCTTCTCGGGCTCAGGCTTCTTCTCCTCAGCAAGAAGGGGAGTGGAGGCGTTGTCAGCGGTGGTGACCTTCTTCTCCTTGGCAAGACCCTGGAGAGCAGCAAGCAACTCCTGTGTCTTTTCGTGAGCATTACCGAAGAGCATACGAGTATTCTCCTTGTAGAACAAGGGATTCTCAATACCAGAGTAGCCAGTGGCCATGGAACGCTTCATGACGACGCAGGTCTTAGCCTTCCACACCTCAAGAACGGGCATGCCTCCAATGGGCGAGGAAAGATCCTCAACGGCCATGGGGTTGACGATATCGTTGGCTCCGATAATGAGAGACACATCCGTGGTGGGGAACTCGGGATTGACCTCATCCATCTCCTTAACGATATCATAAGGGACGTTAGCCTCGGCCAACAAAACGTTCATATGGCCCGGCAAACGACCAGCGACGGGGTGAATGGCAAACTGGACCTTGACACCATGAGTGCGGAGGCAGTCAGCGATACCAGCGACAGTCTGCTGGCAACGAGCAACAGCCATACCGTAGCCGGGAACAATGATGACAGACTTGCCGTTAATCATTTTCTCGGCAACCTCATCGACATTAGTCTCAGTAGCGGTACCAGTGACCTCAACGGTGTGACCCTCTTCAACACCAAAGCCACCAAGAATGACGGAGGTAAAGGAACGGTTCATACCCTTGCACATGATGTAAGAAAGGATGGCACCAGAAGAACCAATAAGAGAACCAGCGATGATAAGGATCGTGTTGGAAAGCATGAAACCACAGGCAACGGTAGTCCAACCGGAGTAGGAGTTCAACATGGAGACAACAACAGGCATATCAGCGCCACCAATGGACATGACGAGAGCCCAACCGAGATAAAGGCAGATAATAGTGGTGGCAATAATGATCCACATACCAGTAGTGGTACCCTTACCAACCATGCACAACCAAACGGTGAGCAGGATGGAAGCGAGGCAGATGCCAGCGTTAATCCAGTGACGGAAGGGAAGCAGGAGAGCCTTAGAGCGAATAACACCCTGCAACTTGCCACAAGCAACAATGGAACCGGTGAGAGTCATGGCACCGAAGAAGATACCAATCATAGTCTCGACCAAGTGGCCAGCGTTCATCATCTCCTGAGCATCGAAGTAACGAGCGTAGGCGACCATAACGGCAGCAAAACCGACACTAGCATGGAAGCCAGCGACCATCTGAGGCATCACAATCATAGTAGCCTTAGACGAGAGCCAAAGACCACAGACAGCCGCGATGACAAAGCAGATGATAGCAAGAACACCCGAATGATGAGTGAAGCGGGGGTCGAAGCAGGCGAAGATGATGGCAACAAGCATACCGATGACACCGGCCATGTTACCCTTAGTGGCAGTCTCAGGAGAACCAAGACCCCTCAAAGCATACATGAAACACATGCCAACGAAGACGACAGCAGCCTCGTTCATAGAGATGAGACTGGCACTCTCATCCTGGATAGCGGGGAGCTCGACGGTGCTCCCTCTCAGTTCGGTAGCAGCTGCTACAGCGCACGAGATGGCGTAGATGAAGAATCGCATTTGTGGACTAACAATACGACACTACATTAAGAAAACACTCCTCATCAAACCTTCAACACAGCAAACTCCACCAGTACTCAGTCAGTTTGCTACCTGTTTCCATAGCCTACGATCAATGCTCGATGCCAAGAATAAGGCTCAATTCCCGACACCTATAGGATCGCAATAAAGCCACCTCTAACCGGCACTCAAGATTGGGCCAGAAACGCTATAGCTTGATCGATGTGGCCGAATAGGGCCGATCAACGGGGAAAAATTAGCTTTTCACGCCCATCTTCCGTAAACCCCGCCGACAATCCACATTATACGATAAGAGCAGCGTTCTACTCATACGAACGAAGCTGACTACGTGGATGACCCCTAATTTAACTCCTTTATTACTCTAACAACTAACAGGCCAAAGCTTGACGCTTTGTGTTGTCTCCATGATCGGGCGAGCGAGTTTTTCATCAGTCCAGACCAACCCTTTATACTGGATAAACACGACTCATCCGTGAGATAAACCAGTTTGCTAGCCAACTGTCTTATACAATGGACTTGATCCATTCAAGCTAACGTAACGATCGACTCAATACAGCAATCATGCAACTACGAATCTCATCTTTTCGACTAGAATGAATCACCTTATACACCTAACATCATGCCGTTAGCTATAGAACTGTCCATTGCTATACGCAAGGAAACATCGCTCGAGACTCCAGCCTAGCGAAAGGTGTGGCATTTTTTGGAAAAAACATAATCGTTGCGACTGCTTGTTAACATAAACTTCACCTTCGGAACATACCCAGCATACGTTTAGTAATCCAGAAACCACCGAAAATGTTAAACGATGCACAGAATGTACCGATAATAGCACAGACCGCAGCCATGTGACCTTGAGCTGAGAGCTGCGTCATTGCTCCGACGACAATGATACCAGAAATGGCATTGGTTACCGACATCAAAGGAGTGTGTAGAGCTGGGTCCACGCTCCAAACCAAAAAATAGCCAATAATGACCGCCATAACGAACGCCATCAACTGGGTTACGAGTTGCATGTCGTTACTGAAGCCAGCAGCGATACAGATAACCCCAACGACCAGCAGAAGAATGAAAAAATTGAGCCATTTAGAGAAGTTCGATTGTTCCTTCTTTTCTGGCTTCTCAACTGGAGGAGTAGGATTAGCAGGTTTTGCCTTAGGCGGAGGCGCAGCTGGGGGAGCTGCTGGCTTCCACGTAACCTGACCGCGGTATGTGCAACGGATCGGTTCGATGACCTCATCTGGGTTGTCTATAGCATTGTCAAGGTTGCCTGCATCGCCCATGTGCTTGAACAAGTGACCCATGTTAGCGGCGAAGAGCTCGGAAGCCTGAGCAGGCATGAAACGAGCCAGGTTAGATTCACCAACTATGGTCACACCGCTCTCGGGGTCAAGGAAAGTCTTGTCCTTCTGAGTGAGCTCACAGTTACCACCCTGCTGAGCGGCGAGATCAACAATAACAGAGCCGGGCCTCATTGAGCGAACCATCTCCTTGGTGATAAGCAGAGGAGCGGGCTTGCCGGGGATCTGGGCGGTGGTGACAACAACATCGGAGTCGGCACTCAACTTAGCATAAAGTTGCATCTGGGCCTGGCGGAACTCGTCGGACATGACCTTAGCATAACCACCAGAACCAGCACCCTCTTCCTTAACCGGGACCTCAGCGAACTCGGCGCCCATAGACTCGACCTGCTCTTTCACAACAGAACGGGTATCATTTGCAACAACAACAGCACCAAGGGAACGGGCGGTGCCAACTGCCGAAAGGCCAGCTACACCGGCACCGATGATGAAGACCCTCGCTGCTGGCACCGCACCTGCTGCAGTAGTTAGGGGCTTGGAAAAACGAGGCAAAAGATGGAAAGCCTCAATAATAGCCTTGTAGCCACCCATGTTGGCCATAGAGGACAAAGTATCCAACTTCTGGGCTCGAGTGATTCGGGGAACAGCGTCGACAGACATGGCAGTCACACCCTTAGCAGCAAGAGTCTTGAGCAACTCGGGGTTGAAGGCGGGCCACAAGTAAGTAACCACGATCTGACCCTTCCTCAACGACTTGATATCATCTTCCGTCAGTGTATTGATCTTGCAGATTATGTCAGCAGCCTTGAACACCTCTGCAGGCGTCTTCACCAACTTGCAACCCTCAGTGGCATAATAGCGGTCAGGGAAGGAGGCCTTGTCTCCGCATCCGCTTTCCATAACGAAACCATACCCCATCTCTCGGAACTTGGACACCACATTCGGTGCGATTGCAACACGAGTCTCCTCAGAATTTTTAGTCTCATTCAAGACGCCTATGATCTTCTTCGTCGGCGGATACTCCTTGACCTTTTGCGGCTCGGGTTTCGTCTCAGCAGCTAGTAGAGGAGTAGTAGCATTCCCGCCAGATGTAGCAGCAGGCTGTAGGTCTTTCGTGAGATTCTGCAGTTCAGCCAGAATCTCCTGAGTACGTGTTTTGGCGTTGCCGAAGAGCATACGAGTATTCTCCTTGTAGAACAAGGGGTTCTCAATACCAGAGTAGCCAGTGGCCATGGAACGCTTCATGACAACACATCGAGTAGCCTTCCATACCTCAAGAACGGGCATGCCCCCGATGGGCGAGGAGAGGTCCTCAACGGCCAGCGGATTGACGATATCGTTGGCACCGCAAACAATGGATACGTCAGTGGTGGGGAATTGAGGATTGACGTCGTCCATCTCCTTAACGATATCATAGGGGACGTTAGCCTCCGCCAACAAGACGTTCATATGGCCCGGCAAACGACCAGCGACGGGGTGAATGGCGAACTCAACCTTAGTGCCTTGCGACCTCAGAAGCTCGGCAATGCCGGCTACAGACTGCTGGCAACGAGCCACGGCCATACCGTAGCCGGGAACAATGATGACAGACTTTGCGTTGAGCAAATCATGAGAGACTTCATCAACATTGGTTTCAGTAACAGTACCAGTGACCTCAACGGTGTGGCCCTCCTCGACACCAAAGCCACCAAGAATGACGGAGGTGAAGGAACGGTTCATACCCTTGCACATGATGTAAGAAAGGATGGCACCAGAAGAACCAATAAGAGAACCGGCGATGATAAGGATCGTGTTGGAAAGCATGAAACCACAGGCAACGGTAGTCCAACCGGAGTAGGAGTTCAGCATGGAGACAACAACAGGCATATCAGCGCCACCGATGGACATGACGAGAGCCCAACCGAGATAAAGGCAGACTGCCATCTCAATACCAATGCAGATCGCACCACCCTGAGTCCCCTTACCAATGATACAAAGGTAAACCGTTAGCACAACTGAGACGACACAGATGCTAGCGTTGATCCAGTGACGGAAGGGGAGAAGAAGGGCCTTAGAACGGATAATTCCATGTAGCTTGCCACAAGCAACAATGGAACCGGTAAGGGTCATGGCACCGAAGAATATACCAATCATAGTCTCAACCAAGTGACCAGCACTCATCTCCTCGGCGGGATCGAAGTAACGAGCAAAGGCGACCATGACAGCGGCTAGGCCGACCATGGCGTGAAAGCCGGCAACCATCTGTGGCATCATAATCATCTTAGCCTTGTTAGCAATCATGATTCCTGCAACGGCGGCCACAGCGAAGCAGATAAGTGCGATCTCGAGTGACTTGGAAGTAAAGTGGGGATCATAGAAAGCGAAGACGACCGCCACTAGCATGCCAATAGAACCAGCAGCGTTGCCTCTGGTAGCGGTAACAGGCGAACCAAGACCCTTGAGAGCGTACATGAAGCTTAATGCGACGAAGACCACTGCGGCCTCAGTCATAGTACCAAAGGCTGAGCCAGTGACAAGGGATGTTGGGTCGTGGTTGAGAAGGTGGGGCTCACTGCCTCTCAGATGAGCGTCGACTGAAGCCATGACAGTTGGAAAAATAAACGAATCTTGCGCTCTACTGAAAACACTCATCGACAAGGGATCGGTAACTAGGATATGAACACAGTCAACAACGAGCTATGGAACTTGTCATGTTGGCCATACTTCCGATGATCAGAGTGCGATAAACCGCTAACTACAGTAGTGTGATTGTGCATGTTCGGAAACCTCTGTAGGGTCCTCGAGTCATAACCCTGAGTGCATCGCGAGCAAGACTATCGTGACTGCTCAGTTGTGCGAATCCTGCACGCGCACGTTAGACGGAGCGAAGCGTGACAAGTTTCAGCATTTTGCCCTCCACGATTTTCCCAGCAGACCCGACCCATATATCGGCGACTGCTACGACTCGCCCCCACAGGTCTTGGCGCCTCAACGTGGCGTGGGGGTGACCGGTTCGGTATAGCCGGTGCCAAGCCTTGACCACCTCTGCCTATACTCGTACATCCCTCAGCGGGTGCCTTGGAGTATGGTGGGGTTTCTCTCCGTTGATGCCTGTTTAGCTATTTTCTAGCGTTTCATTCGGCGGGCTGCTACTATGTGTATACCTGCTGTATCTTACCCTTGCATTATAGCTCATGCCACACCGTTCTTTCTCACGATTTTGTCTCATGATATTCGTGCATCACTGTCTACTTGTCGAGGATTGCTTTCACCTTTCCCCTGGCTTTTGTCAGGCTTCGGCCTTTCTTTCCCCTGAGTTACGCCGTACTTGCCACTGTCTTTGCCCAACAGTTGCTCCCGTGTTCTTTCGCTCAGGTGTCTCATTTAATGCATTCGCATTCGTCCCGCGTTAGTCGTTCTTCCTTGTCGTTCCAGGTACTATCAATTCGGCGTCGTGCCTGAAATCGTTTGGCGGACAAGACGTCAACACTACGTGCAGCACCACTGGCCGTGGGCTATTATGCTTTTCGAATACTGCCTCAGTTGGTTTTGCAGCGAGCATGGTCTACCATGGTCTACTGTATGAACCGGTAACCATCGCGATGTCTTCTCGCTTTCGACAATCTTACTGTCCATGTTCACCATCGCCGTGTTCATGTTATGATCCCCGGTGTATTCTGCCGAGTCCCGAAGGAGCAAGAGGAGCGTCTACTGTACTGTACTGTCGTCGACTTGACTTACTCCCCCTACCCAACCGCAGCTGTCTTCTGTCTGCCGTGTAAACCCTGTTCTGGTGGTTCATTACCCTCCCTGTGCTTCTCGTAGCATATATCGTGCGATGTCATCACCTGTGCATATGTTAGAGCTGCCTGGGGTCTATATCGTCCTCTTTATAGTAGTTGTATTTCTTCCCCTATCATTTTACGCCCTTTTTCCTATTTTAGGTATTATACCTGGCCCCGCTCTTTGCATTATCTACCTTTCTCTCTCGTTGTAGTAGTAGCAGCCACATATCTCTGATGTCGACGGGGTTATAGCCTCACTGTCTCTTTGGGTGCTTCTGAGCCGGCTATTGTACGTTTGAGGGCGATCGGCTGCTAGCCCGTAAAGCCCGGCAATAAGCATTGCGTTGCGTTGCGTTGCGTTGCTACGACTCGATCCCAGTCTAGGGTATTCCCTAGGGATCTTATGTCTTACTCACGCAGAATGTCGAGACCCCGACGGTGATACGTGCATGATCGGTCCTGTTCACAGCACTCATTTCCATGTTTGCATCGTTTACATTATCCCGTGTATCGCCCATCCTCAGATGCCCAACTCACACAATCTATTTAAGAGCCCCTCTTCAAGGGGTGAAGGGATTCAGTTGCCACTAACTATCCCAGTGGTTGAGCCATCCGACCCAGGCATCACAATAACACATAGTTTGAAACACAACATACGAAAGATAGCACGTCTCGACCTTATGTGAGCCGTCAACATGTCATGTGAATAAACAAGGGACATTTGATCGTCGATCAAAAGACTGCCAGTCAAAGAGCCGATGGCTCAAGCCAAACACATCTGAAATCACAACACTCATCAAAGGCCGTAATTGTACGCCCGCACTCACCGCGGCGAAATTGAGGAAGGCCGTGACACCGTCGTTGAGTCGACTATCCAATAGAAGAACCACTACGACGTACCTACGTCAAGACTGGCCCTTTGCAACCACGTCATGTTTTCTACCCGAGACCCAACATGTGCATGATTTCTTCTCGTGAATAGAGTGCTACGTCGAAGGATTGAGAAAGCTGGAACGCTGTGAACAACGAGCTGATGCAGACCTGATGAATCGATTCAAAATAGCCTCTTCAGCTGCTGTGCTCACCTTGGCTATGAACACCACTACCAAAGGTTTCACTACCACGTCATGCAGAGTACCACCAAAGTCCATTAAAGGTCACCTCAACGACTGTGTACACACCCTTAAAAGATGGTTCGAAATTCCATGAGCATTTCTATGATCATGTAAACTTTTTGCTTGTGTATCTCACACGACGCCGAAGTACTCACGCGCACCGTTTTCTCCCCACTTCCCCAGAAAAACTCAACTCCGAGACCAACCAAAGAATAGAGGGAAATACAGTAGGTTGAAGCCGTTGGCAGCTTGCGTAACGAGCAGAAGCATTGACTGAACCATTACGTGATCAACACATTAGATCTCAGCGCTACAGCGGTCCAATCTAATCGCGAGCGCCTTTTGAGTATGATAAAAAGTAGAAGCGTCATTATCGAACGACGTAAGTTATTTCAACGTTACATTGCTCCCCAACGAAGGCACCTGACCGTCTTCTTCGAGTGCCTGAGAGCAGCAAGGAACTTTCGAACAATCCTCAAAGACGACCGAGACCGACCTCCTCGTGCTCCCACTCCTTCTCCTGCTCCTCTTGAGACAGGAAGTCGTCACCTAAGCCCCACCATAGCGACACAGAATGGGGGATAAAGTAAATGCTGGATGAAATTATGCGAGAAATACCACACCTTCCACATTTAGTGTAAGACGGAGCGTGCACACCCTATACGTTCTGTGGTACAGCACTGTGTGTTTTGCAGTCTTTCTCAACAATTACTCCAGTACATACGTCCGTAGTACACTGTGAGGAAATATTGTACACAAGTGTCTTCTGTACTTTTAGATTCTTGTGATACTAGTCTCCCTTGCTAGCCTAGCGTATACTTTATGATTACTGTATTGATCATTAGTTAAGAACCACTTGTTTATAACTCTTGTTGAGTTATCTAATCCTAACATACACATATTGATAAGCATTGAGTAGAATACTAGTCAGAGTGGCTACACTATAGGAGAACATAGTGAGTAAAACTTCTATTCACTATGTCCTTTTATTATAAAAGGACCACTTCCTCACCTGTAGAAGGCGTATCATAGGATGACCTTAATGGACCCAAACCCGCCTCGCCGAGATGTGGATGATACCAAAATACCTCCTTGAGTAGCTCTAACAATAACAACAGCATATTAACTACAATGTGCCAGTCAGTACTACCGCTCCTGAGCATATCACGATCGACCTTCCGTCTCTCGAAGGCGAATTCCTGAGGATCTACAGGGCCGCTCTCAAACACCGGCTCGTCGTTAGGGTCATGCAACTGTTCCATGAACGGGTCCGATATCGCCTGAATGACCAAAAGTGGGGACGACCGCGCTTCTTGAGTCCCGCAGACCTCCTCAACAGTAAGTCTCTTCTCAGGGTCAAATTGGACCAACGAGTCAACCATATGTACAGCTTCCTCCCCTACACCGATGCACCCAGGTTCGAATCCCACACCTGTCATTATAACTACCATTACCTCCCTCCTTCATGATCTCCGGGTAGGTATCGACCAGAGACTTCTTCGGCAATCGCTGTGGCCTCATCTTCAAGTACTTCCTTGCCTGAGTTCATCAACTTAGGCATATAACTATCGCACATCTCGACGTACCTTATCATTCGGGATTTTATCAATCTCTTCGTCATCAGGCGAACCCAATAGTGTACATATTTTCTCCAACTGGTCAATCGTGGAGTTTCCCTGATACCATAAATCTCCCAAGTCACCTTAGATTCTTCACACACTACCTTTAGAATAGTTCTTCGTACGAACATTTCTGCCAATACGCATCCAATTGACCACATATCAATCGGATAAGAATATTTTGACCAACAACAAATCACCTGACAATTTATTATCTTCCCGTAACTTTGAGAAATCGCCTCTACCTCAGGAGCTCTGTACCATCGCGTACACACATATTCCGTCATAGCTCCCACTGTCCCTGGCAACGCTTTCGATCCCTCCTAAACGACCATTGCAAACATTTTCGTAAGCCTCGGTAGCATTACCTGCGTCAGTCGGGCCAATCCAAAGTCGCAAATCTTTAGGTCGCACGTCTTGGACACAAGTATGTTCTTTGGCTTTATGTCCCGATGAATTATACCTTCAATGAAAGAGCGCTCCATATGGGCTAGTAGTTATGCCGCTGCACTTCCTCGCGAACGACCCGAGTTCGACCCCATATGCTCCCCTCTACTACCCGCTGAGTGAATATACTTCACCGCCCTCAAGATTTGGTACAAGAAAAACTTGACATGTGCCAATGTAATCGGTTGCCCAGAGCGGATGATATACCCCAGATCTGCTCAAAGGACTGAAGCCTAACAAACTGACCCCAGTCACTTACCAGTGTCCATCACGTCCGTTACTACATAAATGTCACCAAAATCATGCTGACCTAATAAAGTGATAATTACAACTATTGACATCCAAATGCAACGAGGAGTAGTGCAACGAATAGCTCCGAAACGTTTATATCTTGATACAACTTTGTCCAGATAGTCGTAGCTATCCCTCAACTAGTACTACCATCAACGTCACCAATTCTACAACTCAATATTAACTATTATGAGTATTGCTGTACTATAAGTACAACTGCTATGAATTATAATAACTCGCTTATGTTATGATAACGTTGTGTAATTTTCAACCACTACTAGGGTGGTTACCCACTGGTTTAACCACTACTATTGTAGTTATATTAATAAGGTTATGTATTCTAACCAATACCTACTCGACCACCATTACTACTATTATCCCGCTAGTACTACTCGCTCCAGACACATATATGGACTCAAGTTCAATGATATTCTCATGCCTCAGATGACGTAAGAATCTGATCTCCCTCAGGGTCCTTTTAGCATACACCACGTGTGAGAGAGGATTCAGGAATTTTTTAACCGCCACCACCGCCGACAAATCTGAGGGAAATTACATAACTAACGACCGGCGTTTCCCGCCTCCTACTACCTTCCTGTTCAGAGGTCTCTGATCGACTACCCTCAGAAGGGGGCGTGACCACTTTCTCAGCGGCCACAACGGTACCATACGCTCCACTGCCCAACACGCTGAACACTCTCAAATCGTAGGGTGCAGAAAAAGATACGCCCTCTGAGATGTGAAATAGGGCAATATATTACCAAATTAGACTTTTTTGAGAATAATAATAAACTATTTACTCATTAAATAGTTTTCCTATCAACATAAAAAAGTCGTTTTCCTACATACCAGTACATATTACAAACCCTTACTCGCACCAACGTTGGAAGGAGATACTATATAATTCTAACTTGTGTTTTTTCCGTGGAATACAAAGGTTAACAGAACGTCACCAAGATCAAGTCGTGATAGATTTTCACATGGAATTTTCCTTTGCCTTTCACGAAGTTAATAATAACTATCGTTTTCCCATAGTACCAGCACTGCGATAGAGGACCATGCTTTGCCCTAGGACGTTAACGGGAGGATCTGCTGGTCCGCATGGGATCATCGCGCCTGGTTTAAATGGACGGTTCGCCATTTAGTATAGGTGGAGACAAGCGGGACAGAGCGCTACGATGAACTCATGGAGCGGTATGCACGTTGTGAACTAAATAATTGAAAAAATAAGTTTTTGATTCCTAAAGAGGTGGAAATGCATACCCAATTCAAAGAGCATCTCTATTGAATGGTTATGAAGGTGATATAAATAGTAATACACATTTCCAACATGGTCGGTTATACGAGCACCGAAGGAAACATTTATTCACTATTCTCGAGAGCCCAGGGTTAATGCAGTACAGTTGTTATTAATGATTTCTTATTGTATATGAATATGCATATGTGTTGTTGTTTATCTTCAGCTTGAAACTCTCTAGAGTTAGCAGGAGTTCCTCATAACAACAACAACAGTAATTCGTCCTCTAGCAGAATATTCGTGACGCAAAGGAGATGGATGACAAAGATACGCCGAAAATTAAAAGTGCGCTTCCAAAAACGCTTCGCTCCGCCTTCCCAAACCGATCAGCAAGTTCCTAGTGGTGCTACTCTGAAATTTACCATTACATTTCTCTTACACGACTACTCTCATTGGTGCTGTCAACCTAGGGCCTTTCTGTTCGGTTGAAGTCCTGCTTACCTATGATAGTTTTATATCATGTCCGCGGTTAATACCACACTTCGGCCTACTCTCAAGTGGGCTCAGCGTGCCGAGCACATATGGCTTACCGTGGACCTTTCTGGCGTACAAGACATGAAGGTATCCTTACCCTATCCTTCCATATGCTATGATACAATTCAGGTCGACCTCCAACCTACCTGCTTGAGCTTTTCCGGAGTCTCCCACGGCGACAAGTACGCCTTCGAGATCACTTTTTTCGCAGAGATAGTTCCAGCAGATTCTAAGTAGGTGACGAATCAGTGCGATATGAAAGGTTAATTTTTTCGTTTCCTCAGATATTCCCAGAAGAGACTTGTTGAGTTCTGTCTCAAGAAAAAGGACGATGATGAGTGGCCTCGTTTAACGAGTGAAAAAATCAGAGTGAGAATTTTTATAATAATAGATATTGATTTATTACTTTATAGTTTGGAGTTTCACCCGTTTAACGTGAAGTGGCGTAATACTCTGTGGAAAAACCCGATATTCGCGGTGATATGCAGTGGTCGTGAAATATATTTTTCACCAGTGTTTTTCGCATCACGGCCCGTGAAACTCCAATATATTACCAATAGAGATATACGTATTTATATATGTAATTATATTTTAATATATGATCCTTTTTTTAGGAAATATCTTAGGTTCATGTTATTAAGATACAAATGAGGTCCGCTTCTTGCTCAGGCCTCCTGGATTCAAATCGACTGGGCACGATGGGATGACGGTGAAGATTCTCAACAGGTAAAGTCTACTTTTCATCTCTCCTTATGCCATTCGCAATTTTTTCAGTCCGGAAACCCTTTCGATATGGAGGGTATGGAGAATTTTATGAGTAAAACTAAACTTGTGTGTTTTTCCTGCTAGGATATGTATTAGGTCAAGGAAATCCGGGAGCTCTTCCCAACTCGGATGATGAGAGTGACGATGAAGACCTGCCAGACCTCGACGAGCCGGTGGTTACTACTGAGAAGAAAGTAACGACCGGTGTGGTAGAGGAGGCTCATAACAAGGAGAATGACAAGGCAGCAAACATTACTAACGTACTCTTATGGGAAGCGGAATGAGTCTCTGTGGGCTCGCCTGAAAATTTGCAATTTTTTGCAAGAAAAAATTCGCAGGTCAGTGTGGTTGGAAAATATTATTGCGAAAATGTCTGGAGTTAATACGATAGTGAAGATTAGTGGGGAGTTGGAAATTTTATTCATTTTTTTTTGGAGAATGAATTTTCTGAGGAATTTTGGGAGGAAATTTTTGTTTTTTTTTACTCTCAGGTGAGTCCGAAGGTGGTAGAAGCGTGAGAGTATGCGTATGGCTGATTTTGTTAACCGTATTGACTATGATGATTAAATACCTATTTTCTATCTACTCGTTGTCTCCTTGTTATTCAGTGGTCAAGAGGAGTCTCAATGCAGGGCATAATGCGTGACCGATTAGCATCATATAGGGTGGGTAGAGTGCCGAGGGAAGATGAGGAAAAGAAGTGTATGGAAATGACGAGAATATCGTCAATGCAGATGACGGAAATTATAGGCGATGATAAGGAGGCGCGTCGCTTTCAGTATCCGGTGGCTAGGTAGTGTGGGAAAATATAAACATGGAAAACTAGGGAAATTTTGAGAAAATTTAGGAAAATTTTTATTGTTTTTGACACTTCTACCCAAATTCGTATATAAACTCCTAAAATTAATGAAAAAATGCGAAGATATATTCCGACATAGAGTAGTAGTCATGAAGGGTTCTTCTATTGGAGTGGCTGAGGAAAGGGAAAAGTAGGGCATAGTCGTGTGGGTTGATAGAGCCGTGTGGTTTCTGAGAAGGAATGGTGACGTTTTGTAGCAGTGTTGGAGAAATATATGTTCGCCTTCCTCAGCTGAGCTCAGGAGGAGTTTGAATGCGAAGTGTACAGGAACTAATGAGAATTTCCCTCAGAATTTTCATAGTTTCACCAACACATGTACATATTCCTTCCAACAGTTTTGTAGGTACGCCGTGTTCATCCTATCGTTGGTGATGTTCTCGATCTGCATCGTCGGACTGATATTTTGGAATACTCCACTTGCACGGTAAGATGATTATATGAAATTTTGGTATGAATTTAACAGCTGATAGGTTGGGAAGGCGCAGGCTGGTGGAAGGCAGTATGAGCTCTAGTCAGCCAGTGGGAGCTTATATGAATATAGTATACTTGCTAATGACTATGTTAGCAATACTTACAGTGTAGTAAAACGTTATAGGTCTTTAAATTGGCTATAGTAGTTACTATGGTATTACATATAAGCATATAATGGAGTTTCACGACCCGTTTTACGCGATATTCGCGGTGAGATGCAGTAGTCGTAAAGTATGTTTTTTATTAGTGTTTTCCATATCACTAGGGTGGTGAAACTCCAATAAACTACTAATATTGAATACTATGCACTTATATGAGCTCATCTTACGATCATTGAGAGGGCGTATTGCTATTGGACATTTTTCCATCATGTGTTATGTGCGATCGAGAAATGTAAATTCAGCGGAGTTTTACCCGTGATATGAAAAACACAATTCACGAAGAGTTATGTCATCGGTTTTGGAAAAATATACGTTCTATATTTCACATGGAGTATTACGCCATTTCTCGTTAAACGGGTGAAGCTCCGGTGTATTTCATAAATCCTATCTCACCAATAGCACATGAATGCGTCTTAGTGAGCATGCTCAGAGTGTAGCGATATGAGCTTATCAATGAGCCGCGCTCAAGGGTGGGCCCATAGATGCGATCAGATGGAGTAGATAGGTGAATTTTGGGAGTATTAAGCGGCTACCCCTCATTAGAAGAATCATCTCTTTATCACATATTTATATCGGTGGTAGATATCTCGGGCTTCCGATTCTTGCTGCGAGGACCCGTCTGTCATACTCCCTCACACCTTCGAAACCCTTTCTGGCCCTCTATCACTGCGGGTGGGACGACGCTCTATCTTGAGAGTAGTGATAGGATATATGCAACTCAGCAGTTTTCTACTCTTGGTGCCGGGCTTGATACTCATTGGATTGGGCTATGGTCAGTTGATGTCCTTAGGAGATGAAGTAGTGAGGGGTTTACTGAGTAAAGCGTTAGCCGAATCGTTGTGAGAATTATTGCTCTCGAGACGCGTTGAGTTTATTGACATTGTTTTAGAAGTGGACCTCGCGAAATTTGGAAAAACACTGGGGACGTGTAAAAATTTTCCTCCTCGAAAACCAATACGTGGCATATGATTTTTGGGGAGTTACTATACAAAATTTGAGGTTAATATGAGCAGTAGTTGATTTTGACTCTAGTCTTTGCGATGCGCGTATTGTACTTTGAGCATAGGTTGCCACGCTTTACGATGCGATAGCAACATCAGTGTCGCATCTGAATGTCCAACAGCCTGCATATGGATCATACGTCCATGCGAGTGATGGTTATGTTGCTGTTAATCTCACTAAGAGTATAGTCAGAACTCTCGAGAAGAAGCCAGTAAGAATACTCCACCCTGTAGTTGTATTGTGTATGGATTAGGTGAAGCCGTGGGATACGATGTATGAGGCACCATCGTTGGGAAAGGACGACCAGGGCCAGTCTATTGTGAGTGGAAATATGGGAGTTCCATTTAGTAGTGAGGAGGGGTAGATACCAACTTCTCGCTATCACGAAGTGGTCGTAGTTGCTAGAGATGGTTGGCCGAGTAAGACGGACGTGGATGCTGTCCATCCTGACGCTAGAAAACAATGGACGGTTGCTCCAGTGTTCACTAAGTAGGAGGGATAGGGGATGACGGCAATTTAATGGAGCTTTTTACTTCTAAAAATGCGTTTCGGGTTTATTAGAGAGGACTTTGAGCGGAACGTCCGATCAGTGTGGGAGAATATGCATGTTTTGATGACAATGTGAAAATTTTGAGAAATTTCTGGTGGTTTCTGTACACTTCTGTGCGAATTCATGTATAAGTAGTGAGGAAACGTCTAAACTTGGCTAAGGAAATGAACATATATTTCGACACTGACTATAACCAGAATTGATTCGATGGTAGTTGATAGCGAACTTCCCAACGGGGTCAACTTTTGGAGTACAGAGTTGGGCAGGAGAGCTTCCTTCACTGCGCCACGAAATTACCGTCGGTCGGTCGCTGGAACCTAAGATACCATTGGTGCCTTTCGGAGCCGCCGCCGGTCCACGTGACGTGCAGCTCGGCTAATGTCATCACCGCATGGGCCATTGCGAGGAGCGACAGCATATGTCATACTCTGCAGATGACGGCGTGCACAACGAAGAGTGCTGTGGAGATACCTTCTTGTAGGATGGAGGGGTAGTTTGGCGGCGTGGTATTGCGCTGGGATTGATTGGACGAGGTCGTGGGTTCGTTCCTCAGACCCGGCATATGATTGTACACTCACTGACCGCAAAAACATCGAAGATATCGACCCTTCCTCGTCCGAGACGGGACTTTGCGCGGAAGTCACTTGGCCACCAGCAGAGGACGCTAAGCAAGAGATATTCACGAGGTGATGAGGGTTGCTGAATCGAAGGAGTTCTATATTCAAGTTGAATTGGACGAGGAGTGGTAGAGCACGGTTTGGATTTGGAAGTGAATGAGAATTTTACGGTGTGGGAAGATACGCATATGGTCAACGATATGTTGCTGGTGGGGACAATATGAGAATTCTCGGGAAACTCTTGTTGGTTTGTGTGCACCTCTACCCGAATTTGTATATAAACTTCCACAGTAAGTAAGGAAACACCTGAGCTCAGCTGAGGAAAGCGAACATAAATTCCAGCACTGATGTTAGCAGTCGTGAATGCTCTATGCTTCCTTCTCGTAAGAACTGTAGATATGGAAATACCGTGAATAGATTGTTACAGTTTAGGACAATTGGTAGGCGTGATGACGTGAATCTCCTTCCCAAGTTGGGTAATGTCTCGTTGAGTCTTATGATGGTAGTGATTAGATACCGAGAAGATGGTTGGGAGTTTGTGGAGGAGCGGGGGTATCCTGGAGACGCCCCACCGGACATTTGGTTGGATGTTAGCGAGAGGGAATGTATATCCTATCCGGAGGCATGTCACGCTCGGTACTATTATAATATAGGAAGTAGTAGTAGTAGTAGTAGTATACATTGTTGAGGTGTTATAGCACTCCGCGTTGTCTTTTCTCGATGTGTAAGGAGAGCATTTACTATTAGCGAATAATCAAATCCGGGTCATTGACCATTCGGGTAGTTGGCCGGTGGGTAGCTGATCGAAATGAGGGAGATTCATGATTTTGAATCGCCCTCCTGGAGTGTTGCAAGCTACCTTCATATGAGGGCATATAGATATGTTCTTATCATCTCATAGTATTACATATCCTCCTATTAGTATGTATGAGATTTGAGAGTTAATAACAAATAATAAAAATAAATTGTAATGGAGCTTCACCCGTCTTAGTTGAACTTGAAGTAGCATTTTTCACCGAGTTTTACCCCACTTCAAGTCCTCGAGTGGCGTAAAACTCGGTGAAAAACGCGATATTCGCGGTGATATCATATCACCGAACAAATTTTAGCACATATTTCACAACTAGTGCATATCACTGATATGCACTAAGTCGTGAAGTTTGTTCGTCACTAGTTTTTACATATCACGGCTGAAACTGCAATATATTTCATGTGCTGCAGGTACAGACTCCTGGGAATATTTGGTGTTATCTTCGCCTGCCTAGCGGCTCTCTGTGTGCTCATACCATGTCTCTTAGACTGGTATATGGATATGTTACTTGATAGCAGTAAGTAGTGTAGGGTAGATGCCTCATTGGCATCGCTATTGAGGGGAAGAGTTGCACATGGGGAGCTGCGTACCGTAGTTTGTAGAATTGCAAAAGAAAATAAAATTTACGCAGCAGATTCCATCATGTTTACTGCTCTTGAGAAGTGTTTTTCTTGCGGCTCGTATGCCCAAGACAATTATAATTCTGTTGCTAATGAAAATTTTAGTGCATGGGGGTATCATGATTTGGGAATCGGAGCATCCGTCTGATGCACCACTCCAATGTGGTAAAATTTTCACATGATCACCCAGAGGTGTCGGTGATAATATGAAAAAATTCTGGAAAAAATTAACGAATACTCTGACTATATGAAACTGAGAAAATTTTGGAAAATTCTCGTTCGTTTCTGTACACTTTTCGTATGTATTCTGCCAATTCATATGATGAGTGACAAAGCTCCTGAGCTCAGCTGAGGAACATACATTGCAGCACTTAACCGCATTGGTCCCACAGTAGATAATTAATCATCAACTTTGTATTGCTTTGTCCAGTTATCACGGATCACATAGATCAGGAGGCCCAGTTGAAAGCTGAGGAGAAGCGTCGTAAATTGCGTAGGGAGGCGCAGAGTAGAGCGGTGGTTGAAGCGTGGGAGGTGGGGGTAGGTTGGAGGGTAGATGAAGACAGTATTCATAGTAGGTCTCTCGTGGAGGAGGAGGCGGACTTAGTCATGATATGGTGATGGGCACATGATGATGAAGTTGTAAATAGTGGTGGTTTTGCGTTTAGGAAATTGACTTTGGAGAAATTGCAAACTGCATGGTTTTTACGAACTGGTTTATATTATGTGTATATTAGTGCGGTAGAATGAGAGTCTCCCGTTCTCGAACAGTCTATCAAATCCGGAAAAGTTTGTAATTCGGAAAGTTTTTTTACTTTATTTACTTTAATTTATTCGGGTTATTGGTGGTAGAGCCTCATCTACACCGTTTCATGCAGGCAACCGTTACCGAATACGACTATTCGATGCGCTCAGTGCGCGAGATTGCACTTATCTAGATGTTGAGAAAAAATGAATTTCACATCTGCCGTGAGATGACTGGCAGTAGAGTTGCCTGGAAGTAGCCGATAATAGACGCTCTTACAAGTGGGGTTACTATGGCCAAATGGTCTCTATCGTAGCGACTTCGCCAGCCCTAGTCTACCCTAGAGTAGCAGCATTGATATGCAGTGTGAACCATGTTCCTCACTGAGAAGTCCGCACGATATAGTTTACTTTGTTAATACGGTATATGTAGCTGCTTATGAGGTTGGATCTAGCTGGGGATCGCTGCAAAACTGAATGCCCCGTCGGGTTGTAATAATCATGGGGTAGTCTTCAGTGAGGATGAGTGTGTGCCTACTAGGAAAAGTGTGATATTCCTATTGTAGCTCTCTGTGTTGTTGTTGTTTGTGGGTGGAAGTATGTCCAACATCGGTCGGCGAAATCAGCACGGCCTGGTGAGCAGCGAGAGTGATACCACTCCACCCGATGCTGGTGCTGATGAAGGTAGCAATAGGGAGAGTGGTGGCCCTTAGTCGTAGTATGTACATGGTCAACTACACGTGTCGGTGACGATATGGAAATTCTGGGAGGAAATTTTGCAAAATCTTTATTGGTTTCCATCCTAGCTCACATATAAAGTCCTATAATTAGTGAGGAAAGCGAAAATATATTCCTCCAACACTGAGTATGTATGCAGGTGGGACTATGGGGGAGCTTGAGGTTAAGTGCTCGGAGAAGGAAGTGTTGGACCGTCAACAGACTAGACAGGTGAACTTCTCGCATGGTTGACGCCCTGGGAATTTCTCTCCCGTCAGATTGATAAGTTTGAACGCTCTGTTGAGGACTTGGAGGGTCGGCCGAAAGCGAATCCTACGCTGATGGTTAAAAAGTGATCCGAGTTTTCCCCCTCCCATTTGTCGTAGTTGCGATCTCATAGGTATCAGCGATCATCGGCTGATAAGGTCTATTCTGCATCGGACATACGGACCGAGCAAGCGTGCTACGACTCCATGATGTGAGCTTTAATTTTGTGGCGCGTGACGATTTTTGGGGAATTGATATATAGGTATCTCCTGGAGAACGTACTCGACTTTGACATCAATCCGAAGGAAGGATATCATCCCAATTGCCAACTTGCTACCTACTTCGACATCTACTCCTTCCTGCGAGACCGTGGGGAACTCATAGGTCGGTGACGTCTTAGGAAGTGGTCTTCAGGCACTAGAGCAGTGCGAGTCGACATGCACGTACAGAATCTCGTGCACTCCCATGTCTTCACTGACATTCACGAGTGGTGCCTCCGCTTTGAAATTCTCAGCATATTCCGATTGTGGGGACGGAACTTTGGAGAAGGTGGGTCGTTAGGGGACATGATCCGTATCTTTATCTCGGGAACATTGGATTCTTCAGGTGCTGATAGGAAGTTCAACTGGCAGTTGTCGTTGAACTCTATCGCTCAAACTGTGGATCCCCTCACTCTGAGCTACGTCGTGCAAAATGACGATCGGGAAGCTGATGCGAAGACCGTAACGAAGGAAGCGGCGATTCACAGGTAAAGGGTGCCTCTTTTACCGCAACTTTTGAAACACGCTGAAGGTATATTATTCTCATACTGCTATGCAATGGTGACACGACGCGAGTATTGTTCTACATTGACAAGTTGGCTAAGCAACAGCCGAAGGTATTTGGTCATCCTAATGTTCGGTAAGGCACTGTGGAGGGGGGAAGGGGGAGGTTCACATGATCAACTTCATTTGTTAGTGACAATATGAGAATTGTGAGTAAATTTTTGGAGATTTTCGTTGGTTTCTGCGCAATTTTACCAAAATTCGTGAATAAACTTATATTAGTGAGGAAACAGAGACACAAGCTTAGGAAAGCGAACATATATTCCAACACTGGTAAAGGATTTGCTCGGATAAAGTGATATTTCAGGTTCGCACTGAACGTGGTGAATTGGTTCAGAGTAGGGCAGTGGTCACGAGTGTTGCAGACGTACGCGAGCCCGGCTACAGATTTCCTTACGGCAACAGCATTGATGCCTGTGAGTTTTCACGGGAGCTTCTGAGTTTAACGCATGGTCAACTGGGGGGCGATGAATAAATTTTTGGGGAATTCTGATTGGTATTTGTATACTCCTATCCTGAATCTTTGCGAGGAAAACCCTGAGTTGAGGGAAGCAAGGCCGGAAGCTCTCAACTTTGACGGAATCCATCTCAGATTGCCTTCCTCTGCCGTTCTCGTGTGCTCTACGATGTAGTCCGTACAAACCGGCCGTTCCTATTGCCCAAGGGGGAGGGGCATCCGGCGAGAGCCCCGAGGCCTGAACGTGTATCTCTTAAGGTAAGTGGTGTGTTACGCGTTACGAGTTGATGACAATGGGAAATTCTCGTTTGTTGTCGTCTGAATCGAGCGCGATTTTTTTATAATTAGTATTGTAACTCCTCCTGAGTGCAGCATGTACTCTTGTCTTGATTATTTATATTCAGTCCATGCAAGAGATGCTCTTCCTCGAGGACCCCGCAATTTGTACGGCTTTTCTCCAGTACCACGGTTGCGAGGTAAACCCTTCATAAGCCTCATATACTGTCACCGCATTTACAGGTGGTCGACCCAGCAAAGGGGGAAGCAGTTGACATGTCGGTGGATGACATCACTTCTTCTGAGGGACTAGAGTGCCAATTCCCTCCGAGAATGCTCAGGTTGCCGTACAAGTGGTGGCTTTCTAGTGACGAATGGGTTGGTATTTGCTTCTTCATATCATTATCACAAGATGGTCATCTTTAGGTGAATCAGACGCACCAGGAGGTAACGGAGGCCTGGACGTGGGAGCGACGGAAGGCTTTCTCGGAGCATTTGGGAGAAAGTGTTAATGCTGATGGGACTGTCACCAGATGCACTTTCCCTCAAACAGTAAGCTGCTAGTTGCTGGAATGCAGTGTGAAAAAATCATTTTCGAGATAATTCTTGTGATTTTTGAGAGAACGACTAGAAACTTGTGGATTGAATGGTATTGTAAATTACATCACAGAGAGCCACGACCTCAACGTTTAGTAATATCACAATGTTGCAAATTGTAATCATTCTGATATTACCAAAAGTTGCGGGTTGAACCCTGAGACTAGAAGCTATCTCGAAAGCGTTAGATTGTGTAATGGTTTGCTCATGCACAGTGTAGTCTCGGCCATCTGAACGTGTGTGAGTTGACCAAGTTTTGGTTTGACGAGTTTGAGAGTTTCAACTTCGAACTCTTTGAATTTAGCGTGTTTGTACTGGTACGTTGTTGAGAGCGAAGGGTTTCTTTTTTTCTGTTTATGACTTTTTCTCAGCCAGTTTTTAGGTGGATCCAATATTGGCTCGAAAGTACGACCTCCTGCTTGATTCAGGAGTAACACTGAGAGACATCACTTTGGGGGCTGTGGATCCGGGGTGTGAATTGAAAAGATACAGAATGGGTTTGAATGGTAGTCGTTTTCAGAGTTGACGGAACTTCTATAGTCAAGCCCGCTCGACCTGCGGCGCCTATAAGACACCTGCCGAAGGAACCCGTGAGAGTCGTCCCACAGAAGACTGCGATGCTCCTTCCGAATAAGAAAGCTGCGGCGACCACCGTTGGAGATTCGATTTTTGGGGCGACAGGTGTCTCGCAAGGGGAAGCGCCCATAGTGAGAAATATGGTACCGATCCGAATTGTAATTTGCTGTTTTTGTAGAGAAAGTCTCCGTTCGGGGCCATCAGCTCGTCGACGTCAACAAGTCCATTTGGAGTGACCACTAAAGCCGTAGCTTCGGGGCCGTTCGCTAAGGCTGGCAATCCCTTCGCTGCTTCTACTAGTGTCAAGGGGCCCTTTGGTGTGTCAACTACGGGCAAGTCTTCCTCGACCAGTCCTTTTGGAGCTAAGACTTCCGGTGAGTCTCATCACGTCTGTTTGCAGTAGATACTGTTCGTATAGAGAACGCCACCACATCGCCGTTCCTTCCGAGGACGTCCATCAAGATTCCTGCAGCGCCAGTGAAGGGAGTCGTGCAAGGGAAGGACGATAAGGCTGAGGGGGTGCCACCGAAACGGTTGGCACCGCCACCACCGCCACGGCCGACGGGTGTACAGTCCCCTCGAGTTGCGAGGAAGAAGCCAGTAGACAAAGTTCCATTGTTTGAAGGTGGGTCGGAGTGGCACAGCTTGTCTTGTGAATAACCTATGTGTCATTGAACGCTACCGCATTGTTAGCCAAAAATATCCGTAGTGGAAAGGTAGGGTGACTTCGTATTTAAAAGCAATAAATCGTGGAGCTGAAGGAAGAATTTCCGCATATTAGTGGATGTGATCGGTAAACTGATCATATCCTCCGGGGTGCTTAGTGCTCGAGCTCTGGAATGTCTCACTCTTGCTGTCAATGATCTCAATCTTATGGTTGTAGTAGGGGACGGTACAAACGGGATATTCAAAGTCTGTCGCAGGTCTCCGGATGAAACCTCCCACGCCATCAGAGGAACCCGAGCGGCCTGCTGTGAAGCCGCCGGCTCCAAAGCCATCCCCAGTGCCGATACAGAAGCCTATAAGCGTTCCCGTATTCACAGTGAGGTGCCTGCTCACGGCATAGAGAAGCCTTTGGTGTGTTAGCCTGCCGCGCCTGCTCCCGAACCCTCCAAACCCCCAGTGCCAAGCTTCCCTACTGCTCCACTGCCCCCGACGCCTGTTGCACCCATACAACCACCGAAGCCGATCCCAACGGTGCCTGACTTGGCGCCACCGCCAGTGAAAGCGCCTGCTATGGTCCCTCCACCACTTCCGAATATCATCAGAGATGAATGTGAGGTGTTTAGTGACGATGATTATATCGACGGCAGTCGCCGACCGCGACGGAAGCGGAAAATTGAGGTAGGACTAGCGTAGTTTTCGCGAATGATAGTTGACGTTGTTCAGGAGTCGGTGGTCCCTACGATGAGCAGTGGTTCCACTGAGGTCGAAGATGAGCTGCTTATGGCGGATTTGCCAGAGGGTTTGCTTGACCGGTTTGAGCAGATGTCTATTCAAGACGACATCGCAGCGTGGATTGGTGAGCTCGCTTGGCCTTTGACATGACATTCCGGTTGATCCAGATCGCGACTCGATTCGGCGGCTGGAGGAATCCAAGGTTGAGGAGAAGCGCAGTATGCAGGAAATGAACTCTTACCTGGTTCAGAACCTATTGCGGAAGAGGCGGGCCTTGATGTGAGTCATTGATAGTCTATGTTGATTTGTTTTCTGTATTTTATTGGCTTCACGTAGGGCTTGGAAGCAAGTGTTCTTCTCTCGGCAGCAACTTCGGCGACTTCAGAGTGAGTGTAAGAACTCGAAGCATCGCCCACCGGAGGTTTCGAGGGATGGGAATGGGAGTCGGTCCAGACCGAAACGGTGACAATAAGTTTCTCGGCGGTTTGCTGCCGTTTTTGTGAACACCTAATACGTCGGTTTGAGAATAGAGTTGTGTTGGTATGAGCTGGAAGCAGTCTTGGAGGGCGGATGGCGACATTTGACACGTTTTTTGTTAATGCCGCCAACATAGTGGGGTGTGTTGGATCCGTTCCCTTTCAGCGAGGTCATCCGAATGTCATGAACGTCCGTTTGAATGCAAACGGACCGTTTGAAACGGTATATACCATTCGATTTAATACAATATGGGGAGTCGGAGAGGCTTGGCCGCCAATGATGGAAGCGCTCCAACGAGGGGTTGAGGAAAGGGTACAAGAGCTCATGCAGTGAAGGGATTAGGTTTGTACTTTGCGGGCCAATAGTCGTGTTGACGTGATGACAGATAGTTGATTTCGTAGCGGCAAATAGCTGCAAATAGGATAAATGGTGAGAGTCAGAGTTTTTCTACTTTATTGAGACCATCATGGCATCGAGTTCTGCAGTCGGAAGAGCACAAATTCCAACACTGACATTATGTTGCATATATTTTACGGGACAACCTCTCAACCATACAAATATGACGGGAGAGGCCTTCTCCATAAGAATGGTCCGGGATCACTGGTCCCTTCACCTGCGAAGCTGCTGACCATCACACCAGGGTTATCGAAAGGGGGGATTCTGAAAATTTTCGTGCTGTCATCCTGGATTGTGAACTTCATGTTCCCTCCTCTTTCATTTTTGCTGACAGTGGTTGAACCAGTTTCAACAAGAATCATTACATACCAACTTAATTATAATTAAGGAGCCGTTCGCAGTTCGAATTTCATAGCCTGTCATAATATCTCAGAACCTAGGCGGAATTGGAGTCGATCTGAGTCACTCAGACTGAGTGAGAACACTCCGATAGGATGCTTGGATTACGTATTGCAGTCAAACTCGTTCGCCGAGTATGCCTCAAGGGCTTCGTGCCCTAGGCACACAAATGATATGATAATTCTCTGAAGCTTCCTATTGGGAGACTTATACGCCAACCGCTAATCTACAACAGTCACTGGTCATGTCAATATGAACAAGCTACGTTTCAGGACGTAACTGATGCCTTCGCAGCTCCTTCTGTACACATAGATCTGAGAGAGACAAGCTTCATTATCGCGCGGTGAAAGGTAGTTGTAATATGACTGCAGAAAGTTAGCATTGCTGAGTTATCAGTGGTACTCTCTAGTACATCATTAGGTCACGTCCCACGCCAGTTTACTCACCCTTCTTCTATGTCTCGAGACGTCTCCTTGAGGCCTGCAAAGATCTTGGCCAGAGCGACCGTCTGGACCACGCTCACGATCAAGAGCAAAGCTGCGACGATTACGAGACCAATGAGCAGACCATGATAGTCATGCTCAATGGTCTCCGCTTCGACGCTGCTCTGAGTCTTGAGAGGTGGTGCCGTCGTGGTCGTCATGAAGAACCTGAGGAAATTCAAGTTTTGATCAGATAAATGTCAAGGGAGACTTACGGATCTTCTAATGGGACTGTCCAACCACTGAAAATCGAACTCCCGCTCTGTCCAACCGTCTCCTGGCCAGTCGCATTCCCGAGGTTCTCGACCGTTCCAGGCTCTTCAAGCTTGATCCCATCGAAGGATATAGCCCCAGCATCAATCATCGCGAAGCATAGAATAAACGCTTTGAAGAACGTCATGTGGAGATTGTTGGAAGATATAAGATAATCCTAAAGTGGAACATTGATAGTACACTCTAAACCTCTGCCATAGGCCCTTTGGGTCTATGGGCAAGACGAGCCCCTGAGTACTTGGCAGAGTGCCGACAGCACTTACCCGGCAAGTGCTTCGAAAACAGCAACGGCATCTTCCCTAGTCTGTATCGTTCCAAGCCAGTTCTATACAGGCTAGTGTAGATCCTACACTGCGAATCAATTGGAGGTCCTACACAGTGTAGGCTACACTGTACCCAACTGATTCGCATAGCAGTACTCGTGGATATCTGGAGCCCGTCCAAGTGCCCATTTTTCCGAGCATGCGGGCTTGCTCAGTATTTTGGCTAACAAGGTCCACTGTAATAGAAATAGCGACCTTCACCGTTCACCAAGGGCCCGGAACCTTGGACGATCGGCAAACGACAACGTCTTGGAGTTAATCGTGATGGACAATGGAGATTCTCCATACGAGTCGTATGATTGTATGAATCATACGATATGATAGTACCATACCGTATGAGTCATACGGCATGACTCATACGACTCACTGTTTCCATAATGGAACGATCAATGAAGCAGTGGATCGCATTACGACCGTCGTGTGAATATTAAAAGTCCAAGTAAGGAAGCAAGTGTCAAGTCATGCGCGCTCGCCACACTCTGTGCAGCTTTCCCGTTGCGCTGCTTGAACGTGACTTCTTTTTCTTGCTCACTGTGTTGAGTAGAGCTTACCAACGACTTACAGAACATCACTCGATTGTTGTTCAGTATTGCTTGTTGCCTCTTCCTGCCATGCCCGTCCCTAAGGTTTTAGTTGGCAAGGTCATTGTAGTGGGGCCTGCTAGCGTAGGGAAGACTTGTTTGGTCAGAAGGTAGTACGAGGAGAGAGTTTGGGCCTCAATAATCACGGTGGATCGCATGTTTCGGGGTAGCTTGTCGTATATCTGATCAGATCCGTAGATGATGTATTTGACGCTAACACGCAATCCACGTTAAGTTGTGAGTCACAACTTAACGTGGATTGCGTGTCACAACTTGTGACTCGAAGAAGATGACCCTGAATGTGACAAGTTGGCTAAAAATTTGAGTTCGAATTCTTTGAATTCGGCATCAAATCCATGTGTAGCATGAGCATTTTTGATAAGTTTAGTGTCGGTGCACGAGTGGGACATCACAAGTACACATCTTTCAGGTGTAGCAGAGCCCATCAAATTGATTCTGTATGATACAGCAGGCCAGGAGCGGTTTGCCCAATTGGCCGGGTATTGTTATAGGCACGGTGGATGTAATACTGGGGAGCGTTCATGGATGTGTGGCCTGCCTCGGCTTGCCTCGTTCGTGGCGGTGCTGCTAACGGTACAGGGAATCGTTTTTCAGATATGCTTGTGTTTCGATTTGTCCAATTCAGCGTCTTTCGACCTAGTAAAATGGTGGCAGAATCAAGTGGCTCAACATAACGAACGGGCTGAGTTTGTTCTGGTACTTGGGGCCGGGTTGAGCTCGGTGATCGAACCTCGGTCGCATGGATAGTCATTACCATAACGGAAGTATTGTCTCAAGGATGGGAGAGGGGAGCACTGCTCCCGGAGCAGCACATGGCTGTATACCTCATATGAGTTCTTTTCCACTCAGATCGGTACGAAGCAGGATCTAGCACCAAAACTGGATGTCTCGCTTGCTCGGAGATATGCAAATAAGAATGTAGCCGTTGGGGTGGCAGACTTGATCACATCAGGTCTGTAGCTCTGAAGATCGCACTATGGGACGTGGAGTATTCTGGAGCTATTAACTTGTCAATAGCTAACACTCTGGCCCTGCGATTTAGAATTGCGGAGCGCGTCTTACCGTGACTCGAATGGTCGACAAAAATGGTGCACTAGTTCTCTGCACTCAGTATCGGTTCTCAGTAAACTTTCTTTTATGTCCATGTAGAGATTAGCCGTGCGAACTGGTGAAAGCGCGGGGCCCAGAGTGCTAAGAGTTTTTCCAACAGCAATATACTAGACGGACCGAGTTCTAGAGTTGAAATTCATAATAGTAATGCGTGACTGTAGCACTATTACACTTATGAACCCTCAGTGATGATGGATTCGTAGCTCGGTCCTGAGCTATTCTCCTCAAGGTATCCTTCTGGCGAGTGCCCAATGGGCACTGCCCATCTTTGGTGCTCACTGAGCGCGTACTATTGTGAATAACGCAGGTCAAAATCCTATGCTGGGTTAGTCGAAAGAGCGAGTAATCCGTGGAAGTGCATGAGGCCACGCGACTGG